AGCAGAGTCAGGAGTAAACCACTAGCAGGGTGTGGTTGGGTGTGGCCCCAAAACAAAAACAAACAAACAAACAAACCAAAAACCACACTAAGCCCAGCAGCTGCAGGAAAGTAGCAAAGAACCATGAGGAAAATTGCAAAGAACCATAAAGAAACATTTTTTAAAAAATGTATGTAGGGGAGAAAATGAAATTCATAACTAGTGTGGTATTAGAACAAAAACCCAGGACTCTCATAATATCTTTAGGGGAATTTCTTTTCCATATGCTAAGATGAATTACAGGCACTGAAGCATTTTCACTTGTAGAACTGGGGAAAAAAAGAAAGTCCATCTGTTTTACTACTCGGCCTCGCAGAATTATTGCAACTCCAACCATAGGAGAAGAGCTAAAAACTTTAAATGATGGGTATTAAGATGGGTTATCGCCCACCCCAACTTTCTAAGGAATAACTTTAGGGTAATATAACTCATCTCACAATAGCAGTTCAGGAATGAGCTCATTGTGATGGATGTATGTTCCAGGAAAAATGAAACTTTGATCTATTGATCTCCCAAATATCTTAATTCCTTTAATCAGCATGCTTAAGTCAAACCACTCCTGAAGACTATATTGTGGTTATCTGTAAACCATTTGAGGAACTTACAATTTAAAAGATAATGTCTGGGGCTGGAGTGATAGCAGAGCAGGTAGGGCATTTGCCTTTCACCCGGCTGACCCAGGTTTGATTTCCAGCATCCCATATGGTTCCCTGAGCACCGCCAGGAGTAATTCCTGAGTGAATGAGCCAGAAGTAACACCTGTGCATCGCTGGGTGTGACCCAACCCCCCCCCCCAAAAAAAAAAGATAATGTCTACTGAGGGACCTCCTTCCAGGTCGAGAATACAAAATTCTAAATAAATTACAGCAGACTTGGTGAAGTCCATAGAGTTTAATGTTACTCAGCAGTGGGCAAGATATAAAAAATCAACACAGGCAGGCAGATTCTGGAGGAATGGTACAAGCACTGTGAGATACCTCTTTGTCTTGTTAAGTAACTCTTAGAAAATTTAATCTAAAGTGAAATTTTTTTTTATTTTTTTTGGGGGGGCATATCCAACTGTGCTCAGGGCTTAGCTCTCACTCTGTGCTCAGGGATCACTCCTGGTGGGGATCAGAGGACCCTATGAATGGAATCCAGGTCAGCCATGTATAAAGCAAGTACCTCACCTGCTGTGATATCTCTCCAGTCTTAAAAATTTTTTCTTTGTGTTACCAGAAGACTACTTTTGAATAAGGAACTCCACATCACTTCTTTATATATACATTAACTATCTCAATCTGCATCTATGTCTTGTCCCTCTCAAATGATAACCTGTAGTATAAACTAAGATGGCTCATCCACAGCCTCCTCAAAACCCTGAAGAAAATCTGCAACACTAATTTATCTACAAACAATTTTGATCACATCTGAGAGTCAGGAGTTCAACAATCAAAGACAAAATATTTATTTCTATATAAAGGTTTTATGGAACATGGCACAAATAACAATGTCCCTCAGGATACCCTAAGGGATATTAAAGGAAATGATTTCAAGGACAAAAGCAACCCTACAAGATTCTCTCTTGACCCCACTTGATAAAAAGTTAGTGGCAGTGGAATGAGAAAGAGAAATATATGGAAATTGAGAAATGATTCAAATCATGAAGTTATTAATAATTTTTAAAGAGCTGCAAGGACAGTGATATGGTACTTTGAGGTTTCTATCATAAAGATACTGCGTTCTTGAAAAGGTGGAAAATACTGAATGTGGTGAGATGTTAACATTTATACACACCATAATAATAAATGATCTATTTTCTGTTTCCTTAATTGGGTGTAGTTTCACATATAGTGACACTAGACACAGTAGAAGAGGAAAAATGAATAGATAAGGCAGGAGACCATTGAAAAAAATAGACGAGTGACATCTTTAAGGGAATTTGCTATTCAATATTCTAAAATGAATGACAGGGTGAATGCAATACTTCTTGCAAACCTTGAGGGAAAAACTGGTGCTTTTACTCCCACACTTTGCAGTATTACTACAGCAGCCAGGAAACAAAAGTGGGGATAACGTTTGGACAAACAAGTGGGTATACATTTTCTCCTCTCCAGCTTAGATAGCACACAATATGAAAATAGGCTTTGACTTATGCCCCGAGAGACTGAAGAAAATCAGAAAAGCCTGCTATGAAATGACTATGCTGCCAGCTATTTCTATTTCTCTTCAGTTTCCTTGACAAGGTGATTGTTGCATGCTAAAGAAATTCTCCCTTGACCCCATTTGATAACAAGTTAGTGGCAGTGGAATGAGAAAGAAGTATATGGAAATTGAGAAATGATTCAAATCATGAAGTTATTGATAATTTTAAAAGAGTTACAAGGACGGTTATATGGTACTTTGTGCTTTCTTTTTATCAGAAGCTTAAATAGGAAAAAAATCAAGAAATCAACAGACAGGGCTGGAGCGATACCACTCCAGTGGGTAGGGCATTTGTCTTGTACGTGGCCGACCTGGTTTGATTCCCAGCATTTCATATGGTCCCCCAAGCACCGCCAGGAGTGATTTCTGAGTGCATGAGCCAGTAGTAACCTCTGTGCATCTCTGGGTGTGACTCAAAATGCAAAAAAAAAAAAAAAAATCAACACAGGGGCCAAATGGGGCTCTATGATAGAGCCTCTTCTAAAAAATAGATGAGTGACATCTGTGAGACTGTTTGATCCTGAGCAAAATCGATCACAGTCACTGTAGTCCCAGCAACACTTCTGTTGGCCTCCCAATATCATTAAAATGTGTTCAATCTTCGGTGTACTACTTACCAAGTAGGCAAACCAAAATATCAATGGTGTGACCCCCAGATATCGCAATGACAACAAAGGAAAGGGAATTGTCTGTCTGTCTGTCCTCCTGTTGATAATCAATTTGCTTGATCAGGCACCACTACTGTCTCCACTGTGAGACTTGTTTTTACTGTTTTTGGCATATCAAATACGCCATGGGGAGCGTGCCAGGTTCTGCCATGTGGGCAGGATACTCTCGGTAGCTTGTCCGGCTCTCCAAGAGGGACGGAGGAATCAAACGCGGGTGGGCTGCATGAAAGGCAAAAGCTCTGCTGGCTGTGCTATCGCTCCAGTCCTGGTAATTCAAATAGCTCCAAGATAAGTTGTTGTTTTTATTTTGTTGAGGGGGGAACCATACCCAATGGGTTTTGTTACTTCTAGTGCATTGCTAGGGTTTGCTCCCTGGGGTACTTGAAAGGTCATGTGGAACCAGGAATCAACTCAGCCCTCCTCATACAAAGCATGAGAACTAGCACTTTGAGTTATCTCCCCAGCTCATCATAAGAATATTTCTCAATGGCTGCTGACCAATGCAGCCTCAAGAAACTTTATTAGAATTTTACCAAGCATATTTATCACATTGGGTCTTGGGTAATTTTGCCTGCAAACATATATTGCTAAATTAATACCAGTATGAAAAACATTGGTTTTGCTTTAATAGTTAAAATTTATTAACTAAAACTGGTCTCGCAATTGAAAACATATATGTATATATGTATATATGTGTGTATAGGAAATATATATATTTCCTATATATGTATATGTATATAGGTATATCACTGTCACTGTCCTCCCGTTTTTCATCGATTTGCTCAAGCAGGCCCAGTAACATTGTGAGACTTGTTACTGTGTTTGGCATATTGAATACGCCACGGGTAGCTTGTCAGGCTTTGCTGTGCAGGCAAGATACTCTCAGTAGCTTGCCAGGCTCTCCGAGAGGGGCAGAGGAATCGAACTTGGGTTGTCCATGTTGGCTGCGTGCAAGGCAAACGCCCTACTGCTATCACTCCAGCCCAATAAGTGGCGATTAAAATCAGATCACTGTTATTGTCACTGTCCTCCCGTTGTTCATCAATTTTGCTCGAGTGGGCCCAGTAACGTCTCCATTTTTTTGAGACTTGTTGTTACTGTGTTTGGCATATTGAATATGGCACAGGGAGCTTGCCAGGCTTTGCCGTGTTGGCGAGATACTCTCGGTAGCTTGCTGGGCTCTCTGAGAGGGGTGGAGGAATCAAACCCAGCTCGGCCGGGCTGGCTGCACACAAGGCAAACGCCCTACTGCTGTGCTATCGCCCATATAGGTATATATGGACTATCAGCCCATATAGGTATATATGTACATATATGTATATATGTGTATAAGTATATAGGAAATATATATGTGTGTATATCACCAACACTGACACTGCCCTCACGCTGTTCATCGATTTGCTCAAGCAGGCACCAGCAACGTCTCACAACAAATTGTGAGACCTGTTGTTACTGTGTTTGATAAATTGAATACATCACGGGTAACTTACCAGGCTTTGCCTTGCAGGCGAGATACTCTCAGTAGCTTGCCAGGCTCTCTGAGAGGGGCGGAGGAATCGAACTCAGGTCGGCCACGTTGGCTGTGTGTAAGGCAAACACCTACCCACTGTACTATCACTATAGCCCATGTGTGTATATAGGAAAGGGAAAGGGGAAATTAAGACAAACAAAATGCTCAACTGAAAATAAGAAATCAGGACAGAGGGTAGGGCAATGGCTTAAAGGGTTAGACCTGCAGGTTTTGCAAGCAGGAGACCCAGGTTCAATTCCTGGTGCCACCTGGGTCCTCAAGCAAGTGGTCACCTGAGAACTACCAGTGTGACACAAAACAACAGCAGTAACACAAATCAATGAATAGGAAAATTTTCGTTTTGCATTTTCATTTGAACTGCAGTCCCAAACCACCCAAGCACAGGTGACACAAATGATTTCAATAGTATAATTCTAGAAACAATGCTCTGCATAGCAGCTAAAAACCATCCTCCTGGTGGTAATATCACACAATACAAGTGCTCTGGGAGGCAAAAATCTTCAAGTATCTGACAGCACAGCTGGATGTCAATCCATCAAACTTCGCAGGTCAGGGTGCTCCAGGTGTATGTGTCTTACCTGTCTGAACCAGAGACTGACTTTAAACTCCGAAAATGTTGGCTGTCTAAGTCCAGGCTGTAGCTCCGGGCACTTTCAGTTCTGGGAGTTATAATTTCTCCTTTGGTAACTGATCTGAACTTACTGAAAAGAAACCTGAAATTATACAGATTTATGACATGAGAATTAAAGCCTTCGAAAAACAGTCACTTCAAGCATACTATTGCAATAGAAACAAAAAGCAGGAGAATGGGTCTTCAGCAGGAAGTTGGCACTGGGGCAGGGGTGAAGGGGATGAGTTAGGGAAGGGACCACTAGGAAAATGGGGAAAAGGAAAAGTGCCTGCCACAGAAGTAGGCTGGGGGGATGGAAGGGAAACCGGGGACATTGGTGGAGGGTTATGGGTGAAGGAATTGGTATTGGAACAACAGATGCCTGAAACTCAATCATAAATATGTTTGTAACTTTGTAATTCAAGATTATTCAATAAAGAAAAAAATACCACTTCTGGTATTTCCAACAGTAAATGAATCTTCAACAAAATGACTGTGGGGTTGAGTGGTTCCAGGTTCTCCCTAGAGCCTTCACAGTATAACGTCAAGAGTGGTGGTTATGACATTCTCCCAAGACCAGACCACTTGCAAGGAAGCCAGGCCTCTGTACCTCCTAAGAAAAAAGATCATCAACTTCGGGAGAGTCAGCCCTGGTACCAGGAGACGGAGCAGCATTGCCTGAGCTGACCTTGTTTGAAGCTGTGCTGAGAATAAGAGGGAACTTTATTTTTTTTTTGTAGTATGAAATTTTATTTATTTATTTATTTATTTATATTAATTAAGTTTTTTTTTAATAGTGAGACATCATGAGGTACAGTTGTATACTTACACATTTTTGTGCTTGGGTTTCAATTATACAATGATCAAACACCCATCCCTCCACCAGTGCGCATCTCCCACCACCACGGATCCCAGTATCCCTCCCACCCCCCAGCCCCCATCCCACCCTGCCTCTGTGGCAGGGCATTTCCCTCTCTCTCCTTTTGAGTGCTGTGGTTTGCAAAAGAGGCATTGAGTGGCAATCATGTTTGGTCGGTAGTCTACCCTCAGCATGCTCTCCCATCGTGGGTGGATCCTCCCAACACCCTTTATTTGGTGTTCCCTTCTCTTTCTGAGCTCCCTTTTCCCCTAACATGTGTGGTTGTCCTCCGGGTCATTGAGTAAAATTCCTGGTACTAATCTCTGCCATACTTGGGTGTTAGTTTCCTATTTTGTTACTTTATGTTCCCCAGATGAATGCAATCTTTCTATGTCTGTCCCTTTCATTCTGACTCGTTTTGCTTAGCATTATACTTTCCATGTAGTACCACTTGTATGTAAATTTCATGACTTCATCTTTCCAAACAGCTACATAGTTCTCCATTGTGTAGATGTACCAAAGTTTCTTTAACCAGTCATCTGTTCACGGGCTCTCGGGATTTTTCCAGATTCTAGCTATTGTAAACAGTGCTGCAATGAACAAACAAATGCAGATGTCACTTTGACTATACATTTTTTGCCAATATGGGATATATTCCCAGGAATGGTATTGCTGGGTCAAATGGGAGCTCAATTACAAATTTTTTGAGAATCATCCATACTGTTTTCCAAAAGGGCTAATCCAGTCGGCATTCCCACCAGCAATGAAGGAGGGTCCCTTTCTTGCCACATCCGCGTCAACTCTGGTTGCTTTTGTTATTTTGGATGTGGGACAGACTCTGTGGTGTGAAATGATATCTCATTGTTGTTTTAACCTGCATCTCCCTGATGATTAATGATGTAGAGCATTTTCTCCTGTGCCTTTTAGCCATCCGGATTTCTTCTTTGAGAAAATTTCTGTTCATTTCATTGCCCCATTTTTTTATGGGGTTGGATGTTTTCTTCTTGTGGAGTTCAACCAGTACCTTGTATATCCTTGATATCAACTGCTTGTCAGATGTGTATTGGACGAATATCCTTTCCCATTTTGGTCACTGTTTCTTTTGAGGTGCAGAAGCTTCTTAGTTTCAGATAGTCCCATTTGTCTATCTCTGTTTTCACTGGCTTGGCCAATGGCGTGACATCTTCGAAGATACTATTAGCTTCAATGTCATGGAGGGTTTTGCCAACTTTTTTTCCAATTTACCTTACAGATTCCGGTCTGATGTTGAGGTCTTTAATCCACTTTGATCTTACTTTTGTACATGGCCTTAGGTAGAGATCTGAGCCCACTTTTTTGCATGTAGCTGTCCAGTTTTGCCAGCACAATTTGATAAAGAGGCTTTCCTTGCTCCAATTCACTTTTCTTTCCCCCTTATCAAAGATTTGATTATCATATGCTTGGGGGAAGATGTCAGTATATTCAAACCTGTTGCATTGGTCTACAGCTCTGCCTTTGTTCCAGTACCATGCTGTTTTAATTATTACTGCTTTGTTCCAGTACCATGGAGTTTGAAGTTAAGGAGGTCGATTCCTCCCATTTTTCCCCCCAAGAATTGCTTTACCTATTCGTGGGCGCTTATTGTTCCATATAAATTTCAGGAGTGTTTGCTCCATTTCTTTGAAGAATGTCATAGGTATCGTAATAGGGATCACGTTGAATTTGTACAGTGCTTTGGGAAGTATTGCCATTTTGACAATATTAATTCTCCCGATCCATGAGCAGGGGATTTCTTCCCATTTCCTCGTGTCCTCTTATATTTCCTGAAGTAGCGTTTTGTAGTTTTCTTTGTACAGGTCCTTCACTTCCTTAGTTAAGCTAATTCCTTAGTGCTTGATTTTCTGGGGCACAATTGTGAACGGGATTTTTTTTCATGTCACTTTCTTCTCTCTCACTATTTGCAAAACGGAACACCATGAACTTTTGGGTATTGATGTTATACAACTTTTTATATATATATATTGATGTTATATATAACATCTTTATATATATAATAATTTATATATATTGATGTTATACAACTTTACTATACAAGTCTATTGTTTCTAGGAGTTTCTTGGTATAGGTTTTAGGGTTCTCTAAGTATAGTATCATATCAACTAAGAATAGTGAGAGCTTGATTTCTTCCTTTCCTACCTGGATGCCCTTAATATCTTTTTCTTGTCTAATCGCTATTGCAAGTACTTCCAGTACTATATTGAACAGCAGTGGAGAGAGTGGGCATCCTTGTCTCATCCCTGATCTTAGGGGGAAGGCTCTCAGTTTTTCTCCATTGAGGATGATGCTTGCCGTAGGCTTGTGGTAGATGGCTTTAACTTTATTGAGGAAAGTCCCCTCTATCCCCATTTTGTCAAGGGTTTTCATCATAATCGGGTGCTGGATCTTGTCAAATGCGTTCTCTGCATATATTGATGTGATCATATGGTTTTTTTATCTTTCCTTTGTTGGTATGATGGATTATGTTGATTGATTTCCCAATGTTAAACCATCCTTGCATCCCAGGGATGAATCACACTTGGTCATGGTGTATGATCATTTTGATGAGTTATTGAATTCTATTTACTAGTATTCTGTTCAGAATCTTCGCATCCGTGTTCATCAGGAATATCGGCCTGTAGTTTTCTTTTCTTGTGGTGTCTTTGCTTCCTTTTGATACTAGAGAGATATGGGCTTCATAAAAACTGTTTGGGAGAGTTTCTTTTCTTTAATTTCCTGGAAAAGCTTGAGAATAAGTGGCAATAGGTCCTCTTTAAATGTTTGGAAAATTATGCCAGTGAATCCATCTGAACCTGGGCTTTTGTTTTGGGGAAGACTTTCGATTACAGTTTCAATTTCCTTGATGTTAATAAGTCTATTCAGATACTCTAGATCTTCTTGATTCAGCCTTGGGAGATTACAGGAATCCAGAAATTTATCCATTTCTTCTAGGTTCTCTTGTTTCGTGGCACACAGACATGCAAAGGAGTCTCTGATGATCTTTTGAATTTCTTTGGTTTCTGTTGTGATATCCTTCTCATTTCTGATTCGGTTTATTAGAGTTCTCTCTCTCTCTCTCTCTTTCTGTGTGACTCTTGCTAGTGGTTTATCTATCTTATTTATTTTCTCGAAGAACCAGCTCTTGGTTTTATTCATCTTTCTTATTTTTTTTTGTTTCCATGTCGCTGTTTTCTGCTCTAAGTTTTATGATCTTTTTCCTTCTGCCTGCTCCTTTTGTTGATCCTTTTCAAGATCTTGAGTTGTGAAGTCAAGTTGTTTATGTGGGCCCTTTCTTCCTTTCTGTGAAATGCTTGCAGAGATATAAATTTTCCCCTTAATACAGCTTTAGCTGCATCCCATAGGTTCTGGTAGCTCATGTCTTCATTCTCATTTGCTTCCAGGTATCTTTTGATTTCGTCCTTGACTTCCTTCCTGAGCCACTTGTTGTTCAAAATTGAGTTGTTTAATTTCCATGTTTTAGATTTGGTTCTCCATGTCTATGTTTTTGAGTTGGTTCTCCATGTCTATTCTCAGTGCGTCGTGGTCTGAAAAGATTGTTGATGCTATTTCTATCTTCCTGATTCTATTGAGACATGTTTTGTGTCCTAGCACATGATCTATTTTGGAAAATATTCCGTGTGCACTGGAGAAGAATGTGTATTCTTTTTTGGGGGGTGTAAAGCCCTGTATAGGTCTATAAGCCCTCTCTCTTCTATTTGTTTCTTCAAAGCCAATGTTTCCTTGCTGAGTTTTGTTCTTGTTGATCTATCCAGAGGTGATAAGGCGATGTTGAAGTCTCCGGCTACTATTGTGTTGCTAGCAATGTCCTCCTTAAAACCTGTTAGAAATTGTTTAAATATTTAGCTGTTCCCTCATTAGGTGCTTATACATTTAAGAGTGTGATTTCTTCCTGTTTTACGTATCTCTTGGTGAAGAGGAAATAGCCTTCACTGTCCCTTCTAATCTTTTTCAACCTGAAATTTATGTTTTCTGATACTAGTAGGGCCATGCCAGCTTTTTGGCAGGAGCTGTTTTCTTGCAGGATTGTTTTCCATCCTTTAACTTTGAGTCTGTGTTTGCTCTGACTGTTCAGATGAGTTTCTTGTAGGCAGCAGAATGTTGGGTTCTGTCTCTGAATCCATTTTGCCACTCTGTGTCTCTTAATTGGTGAATTTAGACCATTGACTTTGAGAGAGATTGGGTTTTGTGTCATCTTTCTGTTAGGGTGTGTTGTGCTTGTAGGGTTTGTCTTTTCTTATAATAGCCCCTTTAGCCCTTGTTTTAGGTTTGGTTTTGAGTCTATGACGTTCCTGAGCTGCTGTTTATCTAGATAATAGTGTACCGTTCCTTCAAGTTTTAGTGAGAGTTTAGCTGGATAGAGTATTCTTGGTGAAGCATTCATTTCAGTGAGTTTTTTCACTATATCCCATCACTGCCTTTGGGCTTGGAGGGTTTCCTCTGATAGGTCTGCTGTGAATATAAGGGGTGCTCCTTTGTATGTGATTTCCTTCTTTGACCTTGATGCTTACAGTATTTTGTCTCTATCCATGGAATCCAGCATTCTAACTATAATATGTCTTGGAGTGTTTTTGTTAGGGTCTCTTTTAGCTGTCACCCTTTGGGCTCCTTGAATCTGAATGGCTGCATTGTCCAGCTCTGGGAATTTTTCAGCAATGATTTTTTTTACCGTGGCTCTTTCACTGGGATTGTTCCCCTGAGCTTCTGGTAGTCCAATGATTCTAATGATGTTCCTCTTGGAATCAGGACTCTGATTCGCTCTAGAGCTATTTTGAGGTGTCTTGCCATTGTTTGTTGTTGCCTGTTGGCTTGGTGCAGCTGATCTTCCAGCTCACTGATTCTATCTTCAGCTGTGGTCATTCTACTGTTGAGGGCACAGACTGAGTTTTTTATTTCATCTACAGAATCTTTCATTTGTGACTTTTCTGTTTGTAGTTTTCCAATTTCTGCTCTCATTTCTTCCCATAATTTCTCGATTATTTCTCTCATGTTACTGAATATCTTTCTGACTATTTCATTGAGTTCATTGAACATCTTCATTACTTCATATATTAATTCTTTCTCAGAGAGGTCCTTTAGGTGAGTAGCACCTACTGAGGTTTCTGGACTCTTCCTCGTCCTCCCCACGTGGTGGGGATTTGCATTGTTTCTTCATGTTGACGTGGAGGTATGGGGATTAAGATGTTACACTAGATTTCTTGGTATGACAAAATTATCTGCATATCCGCCGGCCCAAAATTAGGCCATGCCCATCTCCAACGAATCCACGCCCATTTCTGAAAAGGCCACGCCTCCACGGGTACCTGGTGTGTGGTGGGGTACTAGCTGGGATATGAAGAAGACCAGCACCGCATTGGGGACAAACATGAAGAGGCTCAGGGATGCTGTCATCCCAGCGTCCTAGAGGATACTTTGGGTCACTTGTGTGGAGAAAGCCAAGTCCTGGGTTCGAATACTGTCAGGTTAACTCCCCATCTCTGCTCTTTTAAAGGAGTCTTCACCTAGAATTACCTTTCCCCTCTTTTAAAAAATTTTTGGATCCTTTGAAGTTTTTTTCATCAAGTTCCACTTACTACAATTTAATGTCTTTTAGGATGACCCTGTGCTTTACTTACACTGACAATAGACACTAGTGACTTATTTAACAATGACTTATTGCCTTATTTCATCTCTTGCAGCTAATTTATACCCACTTTGTTTCAGAACAACTTTCAGGCAGTGTGTATTGTCCTCTTATATTATGCTAATTTTCTTCTCTCTATACTAACTTTTCAGGTGTGTACCTATTCTAACTTGGTGTGTTACATTCCTAGAATCCTGATAACCATCACATCCCAGTTTTAAGTTTAGAAGGATTCAGTGCGATGGCTGTTGGAAATGAAGTAGGGAGGTAGATGGGTGGGGAGATCTGTGATGAGTTCTTAGTAAGTAATAAAAGCAAGATGGGATTTCTAGAAGTTACTTGGTCCCCGGCTCTAAAGCAACCAAAAGCATTTATTGGGATGAAGCACTCTGTGGACACAGCAACGGAGGCCCAATAAGATTCCAACTTGCCCTGGTACTTGCTCAAGAAAAGTCTAGGACCCTGGTAGGTGGAGAAGCTTCAGCAGAAACAAAACGCAGGTAAGGAAATAAAAGAAGATCACCAAAAGTTCAGAACTCTTACTCTGTACCAACTACCCTGAATAACTCTTAATGCCTACAAAAACCCCTCCAGACCAAGACAATACGAAGACTAGCCATATACAACTATCCTAAAAGCCTTGCAGGACACTCTTCCCTGTGGAGAAGACCATATTTTTTCTTGAAACACTTTAGCACTGCACTGTAGCACTGTCCTCCCGTTGTTTATCGATTTGCTCAAGCGGGCACCAGAAACGTCTCCTTATGAGACTTGTTACTGTTTTTGGCATAGCAAATATGCCACGGGGAACTTGCCAGGCTTTGCCGAAAGTAGAGGTGTGTTCACAAGGTCAACCTAAAGTCAACCTGCAGTAAACTATAAACTTCAAACACGTTAGTATCTGTTTTTCCTTCATAATCTCTAAATAAATTTCAGTTTGTTATTCATTTTCTCTTGAAATTTTTACTCTGAGGAAAGACTCTTTAGGAAACCTGGTAGAATTTAGAACAGACTCTCCTTTTCTTCTTTCTTTTTAAAATTTGTTCTTTTGTTTTTTGGGGGGGATCACACTCAGTAATGCTCTGAGCTTATTCCTGGCGGTGCTCAGAGATTACTCCTAGTGAAATTCGGGGGACGATATGGGATTCTGGGGATCAAACCCAGGCCAGCCGCATGCAAGGTAAATACCCTACTCAATGTATTATTGCTCCAGCCTCTGACTTTCCTGTCCTAGGAAGATCAATTCCTCACTCTAGCCTGGGTTCCATACTCCCCAAGAAATTGGGTGGCAGGGATCATTATCTGGGCAGAACAAGTGGAACTCAGGTGCTGTTTGACTACCGCGTCCTGGGGCTGGTGACACATCAGGCCCAAACACATCAGGCAGCTGCTCAGAGCACACTCTCCTCAGTCTCACATTTCCAGAGGGTTCTCTGGTTGACTAAGTTGTGTAGAGAGGAGATCAGTAGACTCCCTTGTTGAGGCTGCCATATGACTTAAGTAACCCACAACAGAACCATCAGGGTTTATAGAATTAATTATTCTAGAAACTTCCTTCCTGTCTGCCAGCTGCAGATCCCAGTCTGATGCCTAGGCTGAAATCTACCAAATAAAGACCCTAGAGGTCCTTGTGAGCTTTAAACAACTTATTTCTTTAAGCCATTGATTGTTTTTGAAGAGCCAAATAACCTGCTGGAGGCTGTAGCACAAAAACAAAACAGAAAGCTAGCTACTTGTTCCGTTCTAAAGGGACTTATGATTAAGCCTGTTTTTCTGCAAGGGTTTGGAGTGGAACTGTGGTGTCAACGCAATCAGTGATGCACAGGCAGAGGAACTGCTGAAGCCTGAGGAAGAAAACACAGATTGAACATGGCAGGAAGGAGGATCACTCTAGGCTATCTTTCCCATTGGTCAATAATTCATGAAGTATGATTAGTCATGAGAGTTTGAGGACATTTATGTTTCACTGTGACTTTGTTTAAAATGATAAAACAGAATAAAAAGAAAAAAACAACCTCAACTGAAGTCTTTCTGAAAATCTGGAGAAAAGCTCAAACATCTGCCACCTCTCATACTGACTTCTGCTTATAGCAGGACACACATTATCAGAACTTTTACCTCTTCAGCCACCAGACAGGTCCATGACTGCCTGTAGTAGGGAGACTGAAAACTGCGAAGGTCTGAAATATATGTTTAGCTCTAGTCCTTAGAGCATTATCTGGGGGACTCCTTTGATAGCATCAACTAGCCTCCATTTTCTCATGACCTCCCTGAATCTGGCTTCCTATCCTTATTCTTGATAGATGTAACAGATTTGCAATCAAATAATAAATGATTTTTTTTTGGAAAGGAAGGCTTGATTTTTCAAAAGGAAATAAAATGTCTTATAGCCACTTAACAAATCTCTGATTTTCCCTTTTACTATATCATCTCAGCACTTAGTTGGGGATGGGAAGTGGTTTGTACAATAAAGGCCTTCTCTGGAGAGACAAAACTGGACTGACAAGAAGTCTACCTATAAGTAATGGGAAACACTAGGTAGACGGTCACATATACAAACGATGGAAAGACTCTTACATACTCAGGTCAGAAGAGACCTTTATTTATGTAAGAATTTCAAGCAATAAAAATTGCATTTCCTGAGATAAATAATCAGAGAGAATAGTAACATCAGACTTGCAAATCCAAGGAATTGTTATTTCAGAGATTACTAGAAAACATTTCTTTTTTTGACAAAATCATGTCTTACCCTTTTCTCTTGGGCCGATCGGAAGGTGGCATGTCTGATTTTTCAGGATCCTGGAAGGTTTTTTCTTCGTTCTGTATTCCTTCCGCTCCTTGTTAAATACAAACAAGAAGAGCTCAGAAGACAAATTTTCATACAAAATGACCGGAAACCAGAGCCAATGTGCTGATCTGTATTGAATATCTGTATTGATTTGCTGAGAACAAAAACGTCTATAAAAATTGGCAAAGAGGGGGCTGGAGAGATAGCACAGCAGGTAGAGCAGGTAGAGTGTTTGCCTTTCACGCGGCTGACCCAAGGTTTGATTTCCAGCATCCCCAATGTTCCCCCGAGCACCCCCAGGAGTAATTCCTGAGTGTAGAGCTAGGAGTAACCCCTGTGCATCATTGGGTGTGACCCTAAAAGCAAAAAAAAATGGCAAAGATATTCCCATCCCAAGCTTCCTAGTCAAAGAGTTATGTCTAGGTTGTTGGGTGTTCCAGATGTAAATGAGGATTATGATCTGGACTCAGCAGTGAAATGTGTTCTCAGATAAACTTTCCCTTCCACAGATATTTTAGGATAAAGGAGCTTGGGTTCGTGAGAACTATAAATTCCTAAGAAGGAATCAAAAGGAATTCAAGCATAGGATTATAGAAAGGATATCCTGGCTTATAAGCATGTCAGCTGGACTGCATTGGAGGGCAGTGGACCCCTGTGCACACACTTCTTGATTCAAGTGAAAGTCTACATTCTGGAGGGAGAGGAGTTTGAGTGAAGGAATCAATCAGAGTTAAATGTTTCATTTCTTCTCTACTCGGTTCTTCTTTGGCTTAATACCTGATATTGCCTGAAAGCCCTTCCTTGATCCCAGAAGTGAAAATAGAACCAGTTTCAGGGCTACCAGACCTATTTTGTGAACATCTGCAAGGGCACTTGTCTGTGGTATATGAGAGGTTGCATAGGAATAGGTCAAAAGGTACCCTTCCCCCTATCATACACGAAAAATGTGTTTGAAACACAACTTTCACTCACTAATTGGTCCATTAAATGGTAACCTGAATGCACAGAACATTTTAAAGGTATATTCACGTTTGGTGCCAGTGTAATTTTTTACTGAGACTGTCCTTTTGCATTTGGGGCCACTTAATATCTCTGGCTTCTGCCCAATTGTCATGACAATCACAAATACCCCCTTAAATTTTAAAATGCTTCTCCAGCTTGGGGCAATAGGGGGTTGTGTTGAGTGCATAATATCAATATTTAGTTAAAAATCACCAAATCAGAAAAATGAAATCTGAAACAAATTCTGTTGAAAAATTATGGTCTGTGTTCCCAGTGTGAACAATTTAACTCATATGGATTTTTGACTGCTTTAAAAATACTAGAAGTGTGTTCAGGAAAGAAACTTTCAGTAATGAAGCTAAATACCTCCTCTGAAAATCTTCATGTGTCAGATATTTGGACAATCACAGGATTTTCATTTTATCTAACTTCCTTTACCCTTGCATGAATTGCAGATCTAGATTCCATACTAAGGTTTTGACACAACCAAAGGGGTTGAAGAAATTCAAGTGTGCTCATTTGCTTCATAACACGGGATGTTATTTCAACCACCAAAATGAAGAGTAAAGCTGTTGTGAAAGAAAACAATGGCTTTAATTACCTGGGTTTCTTCTTAAGATGGAATGTCGGACAACATCAGTGCCAGGAGTGTTGACTTGCTTGAAACGCTTTGCCTTTTCTTCAAAAAACCATTCACCAGTAATAACCTTTAGTTGTCTACCCAAGAGAAAAAGGAGAGAACTGAATATCAATGATATAACCAAATAATTAATTCTAAATTCTAAAATAAAAGATAATCAATTAATTACAGAGTTCATCTCAAAAGTTGCAGCATTTTATGGGGATTATAATGGCCAATTGCGGGTAGGGCGTTCGCCTTACACGCGGCCAACATGGCCGACCCGAGTTCGATTCCTCCTCCCCTCTCGGAGAGCCCGGCAAGCTACCAAGAGTATTCGATATGCCAGACACAGTAACAACCAAGTCTCCAATGGAGACGTTACTGGGCCCGCTCGAGCAAATCGACGATCAACGGGAGGGCCTTTACCTTTACCTTTACCTTTTAGTTAAATACATTCCATATACCAGCACTCTCTATTGAGTCTTTACGCTTAACATTATTATTATTGGTTTGGTGGACATACTCAGTAGTTTTCAGGGGACATGGAGTCCTGGAGATGGAACCAAGTGGTCCAGCTGCAAGACAAGTGTTCTACCAGCTATACTATTGCTCTGGGCCCTCTTTATTCTTATTTTTTAAATTTCTGTCTTTTAAAGTAAGTATATATTTAAAAATAAATATATTTAAAATATATACTTATATAAATATATTTATATTTTATAAATTAAGTGTATATAAAGTATAATTTTTAAATTTTTTGTACTTAAAACTATATCTGTATTTTAAAAATTATTATCTTCTTGATAATATAGTGTCAAGGCGATAGCTCAAATTGATGGTGCATGTGCTTTGCATGTTGGAGGCCTGGATTCCATTACTGGCACCACATGGTCTCCAAGTACTGTGTGAATAGTCCCTGAAAATCCCCCAGATGAGGTTGACTCAAAGTCCAAACCAAATTACTTAAAATATTTTTATCACATAACTCTTTGTGAACATTATGAGCTCCATTTCATAGATGAGGAAAGCAATAAAATGAAAAGCATGTATCATATATCATAGCTGGTGAGTAGTAGGGCCTGGCTTGTACCCAAGCAGCCTGGCCAAAGACTAACCACTGCGTTGGTGAGGAAATGACATTCAACAGAAACAATTGGTAGTAAGTGCTGATTGGTGATGACAAAGGGGTCATGATAAGACAATTTTAGAAAGACACCTTGTAGTAATTTGATGCTGGATAGGAGTGAAGAGACAATAAAACAAAGTGATAGAGTGGGCATAGTAACAGGGAGAATAGTATCAATATTCATGCTGGGGTGATAGGAAAATTAACAGAACAGAGATAAATTAGAACTGTAGACAGATGGAAGGGCTTGCCCGGATTTTACAATCAATTAAATGTTGAAGGTGGAAAAGTAGGATCTCAAAATAGTCTGACCCATCTTTCTGGTCCCACCTGCAATGGTCACACCAATCCCTTACCCTACTTATTTTGGCCTATATACCACTCTAAGAACTTGTTTATAGAGGTGTTTGGTTTATAGCCCTCAGTTCCTACTTCTATGGAGGATTGTAATGGAAAACAAAGTTGAACAGCAGGACTGGAGGCTGGAGGGAGTGGGGGAAAAGAGGTTGAGTTCTGTCCTTGGCAATGCAAAAATGGCTATAATGTAAAGGAAGACTTGTGTTAAATAATGGAAATTTTTGGATTTTATGCTAGGGAATAGGGATATTGTTCTGGAAGCAATGGGAATTCCGTCACTTGAAAGAGAAACTACTGTATTCCATGACACATGAAAATCATGATACATTTAAAATTCAATATTCATATACCAGGTTTTACAGAACACAGTTATAAAACAGTTGTAACCCTTTATGTATTGTCTCTAGCTGATTTTCTGCCACAATTGAAAATTTGAGTAGTTGTAGCAGAGTCTGTCTAAAATTTTTATTCTCTTGGGGCCAGAATGATAGCACAGCAGGTAGGGCGTTTGCTATCACACAGCTGACCTGGGTTCAATCCCCGGCATCCCATATGGTCCCCCAAGCACCGCCAGGAGTAATTCCTGAGTGCAGAGGCAGGAATAACCCCTGAGCATCGCTGGGTGTGACCCAAAAACAGCAGAAGTGATAGCACAGGGGTAGGGTGTTTGCCTTGCACGCAGCCAACATGGCCGACCCGAGTTCGATACCTCTGCCCCTCTCAGAGAGCCCGGCAAGCTACCGAGAGTATCTCGCCCGCACGGCATAGCCTGGCAAGCTCCCCGTGACGTATTCGATATGCCAGACACAGTAACAACAAAGTCTCCAATGGAGACGTTACTGGGCCCGCTCGAGCAGAAAAAAAAAACAACATAAAATTGTTATTCTCTGGGACTGTACTAAAAATTGTCAATTTATGCAATAGGCAAAGAGTGTACATAAAAAGAAATAGGAACAAGAGAAATAAAGATTTCAGTGATTGGAAACCATCCATTAGAAGCATGCCAAAATCTCAAGTTGTTTCTTTAATGTCCTAAGAATATGGAATGAAGTTTTACATGTTACAGGGACAACTGGTACACTGAACAGTTTATATGACCTGGGAAATGGATATACATATTATCATTACCACAGACACCTAGAGCTGCCAACACCTAACCCAAACAAAATCTACCCAGAACTGAGTCATCACCTCTTCTCTCCTTGCAAGAGCAATATTTATAGTCATAAATTTGCTCTACTCAGACAACACATTTGAGTCACTTGTCAGCACAGAGCTCTGCAACACCAAAACAGTCTGTGATTCTGCCTTTGTTCCCTTCGCAGGTCCAGAAAGTAAGATAGGAGGATGTTTGGCAGAAGAGCAGGGAATTAATGCCTAGTGAGTGCATACCACAAAACCAAGTAGCATACTTTATATATGACATTTCTAATCCTCACTATAAATCCTAAAGTAGCTATTCTGTCTCGACTTAGGGAAAAGGAAACCAAAGCTCATATGGAATAAATAATATAATCTGCCCACAGTATAAAGGCATTATAGCAGAAAACACAACACAAAAAATCTTTCCATTTGCTAAAACTTTCAGAAGAGAGTTCAGAGTTGTTGGCTATAATAAATAAAGCCCCAAGAAAAGGCAAAATCCTATAGGATCCAAGAAATAATGTTCAGCATTTCATAATTTCATATTATGAGAGGTAGTGTGTGTGTATGTATGTGTAATAAAGAAACCCACTATCATTTGAACAAATTGAGACTTTCATTATAATAAAGTGAAACACATCCATGAAAACTATGGGGTGTCTCAGTAGTAGGGCATTAGAATTTGTTATAGTATTTGGGTTTAACATTTGGTTATGTTGGGGAGTTCAAGAGAATATAGATTTTTTCTGATTAAGTGATATCAAAAAGTGGAGATAATTATATCATTGATATCATCATATATTTTATCTTGAGGGAGGGCAGAATAGCATAAAGCTAAAGCTGTAATTGGTAAGGAATAAAGTCATTCCTATTTGCTAAGAAAGGCGATGTCTGTGGTTTCAATAGTCATCTTTTCTTCTGCACTCAGACAAGGTAATGGTCCCACTCCATAATATTTGCAGAGTAATCTTGTTAGATGCTGGTGCTGTGATATAACTTATGTAAACTGGGAGACCACAATGATCTACCTGTAAGTGCCAAGACTCACAGCGAAGTGGCAGATCAATTTTCAGAGATGCATATCTCTTTCTCATAACAAAGCATCCCTCTATACACACACACAAACACACACACACACACCTACCTCTCTTGCACCTCCCATGCTCCAACTATCAGTGATTATTTATTTTTTATTTATTTATTTATTTATTTATTTATTTCCATTTTACCATCAAAGAATATTTCAAGGTCCAAAGCGATTGTACAGTGGGGAGGGCATTTGTCTTGCACCCAACTGACTCAGGTTCGATCCGTGGCACCCATATGGTCTCCCAAGTACAGCCAGGAGTAATTCCTGAGCACTGTCGAGTATGCCCCAAACAAACAGACAAATTCGTATTTTAAGCATTTTATTTCTGTTTCATGTATTTCAGTAATCGTTACCAATTCATCCAAAAAAATATCAGTTGCTCCTTCATTAAAAAAAAAACATTCTCACAAGGACAGATAGCAACATGAAATGTCATAAGATGGCATGAATATGAATCAGCTCATCAATACCTTATTAGAAGCATTTCATTTTTTTATTACCTATCATTTTTTTAATCTCTGGGTCTTTCTGAGATCAATTGGGGTCCTAATTAGGAAAAAAAAACGTTCATTATGACTATCTTCGTGTGTGTCGGCCACTAGCTAGGCTGACATAATCATGTTGAATTTTGTAGATCTCATTAAGATAGCAAAATGAACCTTCTAGCTTTATCAGGATCCCTTTCATTCTGTTTCTGTATTTAGTTTCAAAACCAGACCTATAGCAACTACCTTGTCAGAATTAGGTGGAGAAAATGTCAAGAGTTGCTCAGCCCCTTGTAACAGGTAGCCTCCCTCCATCATTCCTTGCTGCAATAATTTCAGTACAACTATCATAAAATTGCTTTATTTTACCCAATCCAAGGTAAATGACAATAAAGGTTGTGCTTCCAACTCATTAGAGAATGAGTCACTTTCTGACTCATCTCTAGGAGGTCAGGGTGGAAATTTCAATTTTATGGTCTATTAAACATGGAGACAGCCCAGTGGCACTGCAGCATCACTCTCTCTCAACAAACAAAGAATGTCACTTCCAATAAAATATCGCTTGTGCTTTCTTTCTAAAAATCGCTCCATGAGTACAAACAAAGTATTCCCAATACTGATAGTTTAGGTCTCTCAGATCACAGAAACAAGTAACTTGAAGATAAAAGAAGTAATGATCTGTTTTCTGCTTTCAAAATGGGGGATTTTTGATACCTCAAATTAAACAAGCTTCTAGTAAATTTCTGGCTCTTACAAAGGGACATAATAAAGTTCTTATCACAGAGGAAGAAGAACGCCATACTGAAAGCTTTGTTTCTTCCTCTGTCATTTAACTCATAGAGCAACTTACTGATTAGATAATGTAATAAACTCATCTTCTTCCTTGGAATCAAT